AAACTAGGAAAAGATACTCATTATCATTAAACGAGGGTTAAATCATCAGGATTAAATCAAAAGCAAATTAAAATGAATGATAAAGCTCTACAGATCTACTAGAAAGGCTAAAATTAGGAAGACTCTGCCAAGTGCTGATGAGAATGTGGAACAACTGGAACTCTGAAACACTACTGGAGGAAATGTAGTATGGTTCAACACTCTGGAACATGGTGGTTATTTCTCATAAAATTAAACATAGCAATCCCACTTGGAGGTATCTATCCAAGAAATGAAGATTTTAAAGTATTCTACCCTAGTTATTTTTTCCAAGGTAAAAACAGACATTTTATTATTAGCTATCAGCCATGTTCAAGGAAAAAAAAATTATTTTTATATCTGCTGCAAGTACTTAGGAATCCAATCCACCCTGACCCTGAAGCCAAAAATACTCAATTACAATTACCAAAAAAAAAAAATACACACCATCAAGTAGAATTGGTAGACCTCAGCTGTAACGGATATTGTTTGGGGTCAACACCAATATTTTCAACAGGACACGGAATGGAAAACAGACCTCATCTAGTAAGGCTAAATACCATTTGGAGAATCTTTAATTTTAGATGTGTGGGCATATCACAAGTTACATGTAAATGTTTTTTACTGTGGGTCATGACCAAAACATTTGATGAACAGAGATTTAAAATATGGTTGTAACATAAAGTCTATGCTATTAGAAGCTTCTATTCTGTCTAAGCATTTTCATCTTATACCAGGCAGGAATGTAGTCCACAATAGTTATCCTGTTGTCTGCAGTTAGATTGATAACACGCCTCCAATAGTCTTATCTTCAGGTAATATCAGCCTCTTTTGTGTTTGTCACATTTGACAGTCATTTTTCATTACTAAAATCAGACATTTTTCAACTTTCATTGAGGTCAAGACTAAAGAAACAAAATACAAATATTCGACTAACTTTGCCCCAGGATTTAACAAGGAGGCAAGTCAGTATCTACTCTCACATAATATAATTCTGGAAACATATAAAGAATATGGTGAATTTGAAGACAGATGAATTCAGCATATGCTAAAGAGTACTTTAAAAGCAAAATTATCCATTTCAATACATACTGACTAATAATATGCAAAGGACAAAGACCTCCTAATCCCCTTAAAAAAAAAATTCCCTCCACATATAATTGTCAGTGATAGTCTGAACATTTGTATCTTCCCAAAATTGCTGTTGAAATCCTAACACCTAAGGTATTATGGGATCTCTGGGAAGCAATTAGCATTGATTTAGTACCCTTAAAAAAGAGACCCCAGAGTTAGTTTGCCTTTCTGCCATGTAAGGTCACAGTGTTAAAATGGCTTAGAACCAGGAAGTAGGCTCTCAACAGACAAAACCTGACCATGTGAGCACCGTGATCTCAGCTTCCCAGCCTCAAAAACTGTTATTTATAAATCACCTAGTTTATGGCATTTTGCTATTGCAGTCCAAGCTGACCAAGACAAGATCTAAACATAGTTGTTAATACATAAGTAACAATTCCCTTGCAAGTTCATTAAAACTTTTTTTTGTCACTCTTAATTTAGCATTAGAAAATGTAAATTTTAGATAAATCTGTTTAAAAAAAGAAAAATATGAAAAGCAAGAAGACATGTACAGAAATGAGTTTCTTTTCTATATCTTTATAAAACTGTGTATGTGTATATATATGTATATATTAAAATACATATATCATACAAAATATCATACAATCACTGACTTCCCAGTACTATAGCTAGTACACAGTATCTTGGGACACTGAAACATTTAAACCTATGCGTGTGACTTTAGACTTTGACAATTACTCTCCAAAAAAAGTAACTCCTACATTGAATTTTAGATCAGACTCATAAAGATTACAATCTGTGACTTGGTTTCTGAATTCATGCTAGTCCAAATCAAAATTCTATTGGTTCTGGTGAATTTTGTAAATTTGAAGGCTATAAGTATACACATACATCTTTTTCGCCTAGTTATCTTCTTTCTCACAATATAAAAGGATGTTTTGTGATCTGTAATTTTCCTTATGGGAAGAAACACAGTAATTAATCAAATTTAAATAAAATCAACTTTGTATAAAGCTTAAAATGCTTCTACTGGAAATAAATGTGCTAAGTTGAAATAATTTGAAATGCAATGTTGCAGGAAAGTCTATTAATTTATTCTACCACAATTTTACTCTTATTCGGCAGTAGTTTATTATTAGAAATAGTAGAAAGAAATTAGAAATATATTAACTTACAATACCGTAGATAAACAATAAAAACATTTAAATACTGAAGTCTCAAAAAAATCTATTTAGTTTTTAAAGCCCTTAGACTTGGATTTTTTCAAAGGAAGGCTTTATAAGAATATTTCAAAATATCATTTTTCAAAAATCTCATTAATTCAGGCACTACTAACATAGATTTTGCTGTTTCCTGAATGCTAAGCCACTGGAGTATGGAAGAATTGGATAAATTAAGGGTGTAAAAGGCCTATAATGCCAAGAAATTACTTTATAAGTCATTTCTAAATACTTAGAAAACCACTTTTAAAGGAAAGTGTTCTAAGAATGAGCTAACTATAAAGTATATTATCACACTTCGTTTTTTAACAAATTCCCCGTATGTATATATGTATATATTTTTGAAAATCTGTAATTTAGAATTCTACTAAAGTAAGTGGACTCTTATTCTTTAATTACGCTCCATCTAACACACAAACTGCACTGTCATTAGGGAGTTAAAGTAGGAAGAGAAAGGAAAATTATGGTTTTATTATATTTCAATTGACTCGGTTACAAATAAAATTAATGTACAAGTGTACTAAGTACTTAAACTGTTCAACTAATTGAGATTAAGGGCCAAATTATAAGTTCACTCATGCAGAACGGTGTTAAAGTTCATTTTATAAACTTAGAACTAAGTCCTTTCTCAGCAAGTAAACATTCTAAGAAATACTGTACATCTTTTTAAGCTAATGTTTTAGAAAAGTACTCTCTACTGATGTTTAATTATAAAACAATTAGTGACCTTAATGACCAACTCTAGGTACTTATCCTGGAGCAAATGCCCAAAAGGACAAGGATATTCACTACAGTGCAGTTCGCAACAAGAAGAGGTTGCTACACTATGGTACCGTCACACTGTAAAATACTACGCACTTAAGACTGACTAAATGTGGTTTTGTTGCCATGTTAAGATCCCGGAGATCTAGTGTAGAAAAAATATATTGTAAAACAATGTTCACAGTATGAGACTAAATATGCATGTCTCTCATACATACACACATTCACACAAAGTACAGCATTTCTATGTAAACAGATGTGCTTGTAAGAGTGGGAAGAAGAGATCTGGAAGGATATTTTTGTGTGTGAAATTAGAATGGAAGGGATCACTAGGATTCTTGCTTAATATTTATTAAGTGTTTACAAGGAGAACGTTTGTTACTAAAAAACAGTAAAAGGAGAAAAATGCTTGCTACCTTCTCCCCCAATTCACAAATCATAACTGTCAGGGGTAACAAGCTTTCATTTTTATTTGCTTGAAGTCAAAACCAAATGACATCAACAAATACATACCTAGCAAAAAGTGGCAATATTGGAAAGAAAAAAAGATTGCATTATGTTATCGCACCTTCACATGAAAAAGAAGAATGAAGAGCGTGCACAGGAAGAAACAAGAACGCCTCTAACTAACCACGTCCCCTCTTAAGAAATTGGAGTTTTTAAGTTAGCTCGGGGTGACCCAGAAGCCTCAAAAAGCCACTTTATCCCAAACGAAAAAAAGTGGAATACTGTGCCCTCAAGTGCTGAAGGTTGTTTTTAGAAAGCTAAACTAAGAAACAGTAAATGCCGAGTGTGTTTTACAGGGGTGGGAATAGGAACGTGAAACTCTACACCTCCCGAAAGCGTCAAAACCAACTGAAGAGCCGAGCAGAGCCGGGGAAGCAAGTGCGCGGGGGTAGGGAGAGCTCGGCGGGCACTCCGAGGTCTGGGCTCCGAGCCACACAACAGTTTACGCCGAGTCCGTTTGGAGCGTGCAGTCCCCGAGGGTGGTCCACAATTCGCCACTGACACCCAAATCCCCCGAGATGGAAGGGGGGGAGGTGGTTGTCAACAAAAACTTAGGTCCGTCAGCGAAGCGGTGAGATCAGCGTTGGAGAAGCGCAAAAGCGCCAACTTTTCCCCCCAAGGCAGCAGCTCCGTGAGGTTCGCCAGGTCTTCTCCGAGTTCCACCGCAGAAGCCACCCCAACACCTGCCCCGGCCAAACCGCCTGCCCCCCACTTGGTCCCCCAGGAAAACCCAGCAAGGGCGGCGGCTGGCAGCATGCAAAGGCTTGGCCGTGGGAGGCAAGGACGCGGGGTCTGTGGGCCGGGGAGCACCGGGCACCCCGGAAGCTCCCTGGCACCCCGACCCAATCGCTGTCCCACCTTCAACAGCCCCCCGCGGCGTGGCCCCCTCCCCCACCTCAGGGCGGCGACCTCAGCGCCTCCGCCCCGGGGCCCCGGCTCACCCAGGTAGCGGCTCCGCAGCCGGGACGGGTCCTCCAGCCCGAGGGACCTTTTCCTCACGTCCCACAACAGGTGTGGGCAGGAGCCACCCCGAGACATGGCTCTGCCGGGCGGGGATAGGAGGGGAGACCACCGCGTGGGGGAGGGGAGGAGGGGGAAGGGACACACGGATCAACACTCGAGCCGCACTGGCACCATCCGCGCGCTGGGCCTCGCGGGAGCCAGTCAGACGGCGGCGGGGGCTGCGCCTTGGGCCCCGACGCCCGGCCGCACCCGGGCTGGAGCTCGCTCCATACTCTCCTTCTCAGACTACCCTGAACATCCAGAGATCAGCAACAGTCCCTCCCTCACCCCCTCCTCCTACGGGAGGGGGAGGAGAAGGCGGCCGCGGCCCCTCCCACTCCTCGTTCTCGACACCCTCCCTGCCAAGCCTTTCTCGCGAGATGACGGCCGCCCCGGGGGCTGAGGCAGGTGCGCGCCACGGCTGCCCTCACCCTGAAAAAGCGGGCTCAGGCCACTCTGGCCCAATCCTTAAGTCTCCTCGGATAAAAGAGGAGTAGAGTGAGAAGAAGGTGAGGTCTGAAGGCTCTCGCTCACGAGTGTCATTCCAGAGGAAGCAAGAGCGTTGTGCGACGTCATCTTTAGTTGGGGCACGGAAGGCCCGAAAAGCCCATTTTAACTGCGGGCCTCCTGAAGCCGAGTGCGAGGGGATTGGAGCCGGGGGAGCTTCACTTTCCCTTTTCCAACATGGCCTCCAGGGCAGGAAGGAGAGTGTAGAAGCCCGTGCTGGGCCCCGCCCACGCCGCATGCCGGCCAATCGCCGTGGGCAGCTCCACTTGCGCAAGTGCGCTGCCGCAAGGCTCGGCAGGGTGGATTAGGTGAGGCAATCTTTTTGGCACCTGTTGCCATGACTCCTCCTTACTCTCGGCGGCGGGAGGGCTGGAGGTGGGCCCGGGCGGGGCATCGCAGAGCCTCCGCCCCCTCGGGCCTCCCCCTGCTCCCCCCACCACCCCCGGGCCCTTGGGCGGTTCGCAGGGGGCAGGCTAAGCCGCGGGAAGGGCACCCTAAGGGAGAGGAGGACGCGAGGCGCTGTAGCCGGGGAAAGTGACGAGCTGCTCTTCGTTGTCAACCAGGGACAAGGACACGGCCGCTCTCCCAACTCGGCTGTCCACGAACTCTAGATCTCGAAGATGTCAGCAGCCGGCGCCCGAGGCCTGCGGGCCACCTACCACCGGGTCCTAGATAAAGTGGAGCTCCTGCTACCAGAGAAATTCAGGCCTTTGTACAACCACCCAGCAGGTAATAGACCCGGAACGGTTGCGACCAACACCTTCCGTTCCCCCCCCCCACCCTCCTTCCTTTTAAATAGACCTTTAGAGATCCGTTGACAACTCTGCCGCTGGAGGCATCACGCACAGTCCCTTCCCCTTGATGAATCCGTCTATTCGCTCATCCCCTCTGCTTTTCACTTGCTAGAATCCAGCATCTCTCATCAACCCGTGATTCTAGAATCAGCGCCCTTCGTGACCTCTGTTGCACCCTATCCCTTAGGCACTACTCAAACCTGGATCCAGCCTCGGGGCTTGATCTTTCCCCCATTCTGTGGTGGCAGAGAAAGGGTCTGCGCTCCCAGGAAACCTTCCTTAACCTCTCTTTCCCTCCCGGAGTGGTGGTATGTTGATGCGCCCGGAGCAGAGCTAGATTGGTGCCTGGCGCACTGAGGTTTTGAAGTAAAGGTCACGCTTCTTTCAGCACCAGCAGATGTGCTACCTGTTTCAGAGTCATTGTCATTCCGCCTTTTCACAGGTCTTGCTTGTTTCATTAAGTCTATCCTTACATATGAAATTACAGAATAACTCTTCACCTTTTCAGCAGCCAGACCTGGAGTTTATCCAGCTCTGTCTCTTACTATAGGTGTGACCTTGGGAGAAATTCTAAATCTCTTAGCTTCTGTAAAATGTGGCCCAAGAATTAAAGATAATGTGTATGTCTGATTCTTCATAAATACTCAGTAAATGTTAGTGCTCTCAAAACTGAAAAAAATAATAGTTCTTTAAGAAACCAGACGATCTCACTCCCTCCAACTCTTTAAGATCTAGAATTCGGTTACCTCTTTTTTAAAATGGGCACTAATAATACTTACTTGACTGATACATTCTGAGGTCCTTTTTCAAGTGTGACTTAGCAAAAGAGAAATTTGTTATAAATTGAAAGATTTAAGTGCAACCCAAAAAGTGATTAGTTAACCTGCATTGTCAAATCTATCTCTGCTGGTGGTTTTATTATGAAGGTTGGTTGTCTAGCTCCCGGCATAACTATGAAGCAGCTCTCTGGAGTCTGAACCCATTCCCAAATCTGATTCGGTTTGAAAATGGAATGGACAGAGTCTTTTGGGATGGTACTTTAGTATGATATGATTTACTACAATATTGTACCCACTATAAAATTGATCTCTAATGATAGGTTTTTGATAAAGACATTTAGTTTACTTTTTAATTCTTTCAACACTCAATTTTTTGGAGTTGTGCTTTATGGCAAAGTTTTTCAGGAGGGAGGAGGGTTGGGCAATACTGCAGTGATCTGAGATTTAGAGTTAGCTAAACCCTGTGAAGTCAACTCTGACCTTCTTAAGCTTTGTGTTTGATCTGTAGAATAAGGGCAGGTAGAGGAGCAATTTTAAACTATGCTATTGCAAAAGGTGATGGTGGTTTTACAGTGATCTTTTCCAAGCATTTGGCTTTTACCACTTATAATCATTGTTTATATGATTTTATTCTACTTTCACAATGAAGGGATTACCTTGTGTTTGTAGATTGTGCATTTCATCTGGATATTCTTGGAATAGTTCAGTTATTTTAAGTCATTTTCAGCATACTGGAAGGGACATACGGCTTGAAGCCAAACAGAACTAAGATCAAGATTTGGCAGATTGACCTTAACCTTAAATCTCCTAAGCCTTAATTATTCACTCCATAAATGGAGATAATTGTCACCATTTAAAGAGTGTTCTGAAAATTAAATGATATAATGTCTGTAAACATGTAGCAGAGTTTTTGCATCTAGACTCTCAATAAAAATGTTAGTTCCCTTCCATCTAAGCTTTTAGTCAATATGTACAGTAAGAACACCTATCACTGCAAAATTATTTGTGATTAAAAGTCGTAGGCACACACAAATGTAGAAATGAAGAAGCATGGAAAATATATCTGTTGATTTACTAGTATTGGATAAAATCTGAGTGGTTATTACCAAGAGTTATCCAGAGAAAATATTCAAGGTTTTACATAACGCTATATTAATGGATTGTCATTTAAACGGTATATTAACAATAGAGATTTTTAAAGTGATGTTCAAGGCTAGGGTATTAATCATTGGATATCTATAGTACATTGCTAATTATAATTTTTGAGATTTAATTTTATCACTGCCAAGTGTGTCTAGACAGGTAGCAAGAACATGTCTTCGAATAGACTAAAGTTAGCGTATTGCATTTTGAGTCATTATATTAAAGTAATGTGTGCATTATAGTTAGACCTGTGGCCTTTATCATCCATTTACTTAGGTGTTCATCACACATCATGATCTACCTCTGTAAGAGAACAAGAAAAATAAAATGTGCTAACCAAGTGTGTACCCTGGCAAGTTCAATTCTTGTAAGGGAGATAACCAACTTCCTGACTATAAAAATGTATGACTGGGCCTCCCCGGTGGCGCAGCGGTTGAGCGCTGGGTTGCGAAGCTGCCCGCAGCCTCTGCGGCGCCGGTTCGATCCCCGGCTGCTCCCTGGCCACCAAAGGAGGGTCCCACATGGCGCGCAGGCCTCTCCTGCCGCCCGCTGCTCCCCTCAGCGGTGTGCTTTGGTCCTTCTGCCTGCTCTGCTCCCCGCTCTGGTGAATTCTCTCACCTTCCCGCACTTCTGACTGTACCCAGTGCTTGTATGTATAAACAAACAAATAAATAAATAATAAATCTTTAAAAAAAAAAAAAAAAAATGTATGACTCCACACTAACCAGCTGCACAGCCTATACTCTTGGTATTTGTCAGAGAAATAACCTTGAAGTCATGCTGCCCAATGTTTACTTAAAAGCTTAGTTGGAAGAAAGCATTATTAACAGAGCAGTCATTCCTTTCTATTTAGGAGCTCCAAAATGGGGTTAATTATCCCAAGGGGCACACAAAATGAAACATTGGAATGAAGGAAGAAAACAGTGGAACTTCTATTAATGCTTGCTATTATTTAATCCTTTTAATATTCCATTGTGTATTTACCTCTTAATATTAAAAACATGTTAATGCAGTTATATAAATGAAATATATGTATATCTAAATATGTATACATACTGGATTTTGTGGAGTCTATATATATATATAAATATATACATAAATAATTTATTAAAATATAAACTGCATTTTTTTTTACTGGTAGGGACATGTGTTCCAAAGAAGTTGGGAGATCACAGCTCTAAAGAGTCTAAAAACTATTCTAGAAGGTGGCCAAAAGTACCAACTTCCAATTACAAGATAAATAAATTTGGAGAATGTAATATACAGAACTATCCTTTCATTAAGTCATACTAGAAATAAGAAACTTTATTTTTCACACTGGAACATAATGAGCATCTCACTTGGGTATTTATTATGTGTGTATGTTTACATGTGTTTAAAGTAATTTATTCTATTCCAAGAAGGAAATCTTTTTCTAGAGAGAGAATGGTACATAAACTAAATGACATACTTTTTGGGTAGAATTTATATCCATTATATTAAATTCCTCTCAGATAAGGAAATTAGAAAGTAAATTTATGTCATTTTATCAACAGGTTTATCATAGTTCATCAAGGCATCTTGATTTGTTAATTCATTTGAAAATGTATTTCTGGGCCTCCCTGGTGGCGCAGCAGTTGAACACTGGGTTGCGAAGCTCCCCGCGGCCTCTGCAGCGCCGGTTCGATCCCCGGCTGCTCCCTGGCCACCTGAGGAGGGTCCCACATGGCGCGCAGACCTCTCCTGCCGCCCGCTGCTCCCCTCAGCAGTGTACTTCGGTCCTTCTGCCTGCTCTGCTCCCCGCTCTGGCTCTGGTGAATTCTCTCACCCTCCCGCGTTTCTGACTGTACCCAGTGCATGTATAAATAATAAATAAATATTTAAAAAAAAAAAAAAAAAAAAGAAAATGTATTTCTGTTACATATTTGATTATGATATTCCCTTGCAGAATTTCTCAAATTCTGAAAGTGTAAAGCTTGGACTTTTAAAAGTACTTTTAAAATAAGACAAATTGGGCCTCCCTGGTGGCACAAGGGGTTAAGATGCAACCTACGAAGCTATCCGCAACCACTGCAGCACGAGTTCAATACCCGGCCTGCCAGGGAGCAACCCACATGGCGCAGCAGACCTCTCCTAATTTGCCTGCTGCTCCCCTCAGCAGTGTGCTTTGATCAATCTGCCTGTTCTGTTCCCCACTCTGTTCTGGTGAATCCTCTCACCCCCTACACTTCTGGCCTGTACCCCAGCTCTTGTATAAATAAACAAACAAACAAACAAATAAATAAATAAATCTTTTAAAAAATAAAATAAAACAAGACAGGGCCTCCCTGGTGGCGCAGTGGTTGAGCGCTGGGTTGCGAAGCTGCCCGCAGCCTCTGCAGCTCTGGTTCTATCCCCGGCTACCGAGCGAGGGTCCCACATGGAGCGCAGACCTCTCCTGCCGCCCGCTGCTCCCCTCAGCAGTGTACTTTGTCAGTCTGCCTGTTCTGTTCTCTGCTCTGGTGAATTCTCTCATGCTCCTGCGCTTCTGACTGTACCCAGTGCTTGTACAAATAAATGAATCTTTTAAAATAAATAAATAAATAAATAAATAAAACAAGACAAATCTATAACAACCCCCCAAGAAATGAATATATTATTCTCTATATTTTTTGTTGGGCTTGAAAATAGTCCATCATAATTTTATATATATATATATATAAAATTTGAATATATGTGTATATATATATTTTTGAATACCTCTTTGATATTTCTTTGTTTTATGTTTTCAGAAATGACTTTTACTTCTTTATCATTTCTCTTGATAGTATCTTGGCAATGTGCATATAACTTGAAGGCAAGTATAACTTTCAGAAATCATCAAAGATGTGGTTCTATTTTCCTCTTTCTTAAACCATTAATATCTTTTTATTTAAATTGTTAACATTTGAGACCTTTTTCAACTTTCAAAAAAAGCAAATGAAAATATGTTAATTGTTCATTAATTCTTTGTTTAAAAGACTGTACTTTTGTATCTGACAGGGGCTCATTTCCC